AATATATATATATATATATATATATATAATGATTATTATTCTTTTTTAATGTTTATTATTCGTCTCTAGTTTTGCGAAATAAAACCTACGGCTTAATTTGCTCTTAAGTAAACATTACAAAAAAAAAATTTTAAAAATAAAATAAAATAAAATTTAGAATAAAATTTTGTTAGGAAATATGTGCAGTCTCCAAGCTGGCGGACTCAAAATCTTTAAAAGAGTCATACCAGATGTATCAGCTACATAAAGCAACCAATCTATGTACAAATCAACCTTTAAATTGAAGAGAAAAATTGAAAGATTTGTCAAATGATTTTGACCTTACAATGATGCTTTTTTTATTTAAGAGAAAATCTTTCTTAAAGTACATTCTAAGAAAAATGATATATGTATATAAGTTGAGAAATTTTTGACAAAGAAAAAAGAAATGCATCCACATGGATCATACTGATGTAATATTTACTCATTATGAAGATCATCCTCGGATCATTATAATAAATAACCCTTTTTCATTTATGATAACAACAAACCCAAATTCAACTGTGGGCCAGATTTTTCTTGTATAAAATAATAAAATGCTATTAATACCTACCTCCTAAATGTAAAATACTGTCAAGAACAAAGTTCAATCGTGGTATAAATTATGACTAGTTAATATTTGTGGATAAATTAGATCTAATTTGACATTATTTAGATAGTATTAAAATATATTTTAATAATTATTTTTAGATACATGACTATGTGTCAACTACATAAATTGTTACTTTTATTTTCTGTATAAGGATGTATAATTGTGTTATTATTTCTATGCCTCCTGTTATGCTAAGAAAATTATTATTAGAACTATGAAAGAAGATAAAAAAAGATTATATAAAAATTAAGATAAAAAATTAATATTTTTTCATTGATAATATATATACATTTCAAATCTTGTACTATATAGGTTTATAAAGAATAATAATAATTATACAAGTGATATCATCTTAATTTAGAGAAATAGAAATAAAATAATATTAAAAGATAAAATATACCTTAATATTTAAGATCATCCTATGAAATTTTTAAATCATTTTTTTTAGAGTCTAGAGTCTACCTAACAGATTGACAGTGATAAATTAGAGGAATCAACTAAACATATAAGAAAGAGGAAAAAAAATCAATAACATATACATCTTAGACTTAGAGCATTCATCATCCAATTCTTATCTCACATCACATGATAATGTAACATGGTTATGGCATAGAAAAAAAAAAAAAAAAAAAAAAAAAAAAGAGAGAGAGATAACAACATTGGAGGGGACTTAAAAATATAACTCTCAAGTTAAGTTTTGTATTAAATTAAGCATAGAAAGAATAGATTATGTACATAAGAAAAGATTGCGTATCTGTTAACATTTCTAAATAATGGTTGAGTTTTTTAAAAGTGAAATGAATTTAGTTTGCTATTGAGATATGTAAATATAAATATTTGTCTAAAAAAATTAAATATTTTTTTTAAATGTAAAGATTGTGAAATAACCATTGTTATTTTGCCAAACTTTAACGTATAATTATGAAGTTTAAAACATCCAGAACTGATTGGGAATCTGATAAGATAATATCAGTTTCATAAATTTAATATTTATATCTCGGAAGTATGAAACTTAATTACATTTTAATGTCATGTTGAAGAAACTGATGAACATGATTTTTTACTTTAAAAGAATCTTCATGATTTTGTTAATTCAAATTGTATCATTAACTATTAGGTAATATATAATTCAAATGAATTATCAAGAATAAATTTGTTATAAACAATCTTGCTTGTATAATTATATGGTTGAGATTAATTTCATAATATAAAATCTATCATGCGAAAACTTTCAGTTAATGCCACAAATATGAATTATAAATAACATCTAAATTGTAAAAATTGAAAAGCAAAAATACTTCCTTAAAAAAATACTATATAGAACTTTTAAATGATTATCTGACTATTATTTTTTTGATTTTAGTCATCTATATATAAAATGTGACAATGAATTGTATATACAAATACTTTTAAATTATATTATATCATAATCAAAGTATAAATTAAGTTATAAAAAAAGAAGAAGAATTTATCAAAAGAAGAAGAACTTATAAAATTCATTAACAAAAAAATTTTAAACACCTTTCCTCACACCATATCTTTGATCAAAGAAATCTCTCACCACACATGTGCACACACTTGCATACACACTAACACACAAATATATTAAAATCATGATATATGTCTAAAATAGTCACCATTCATGTGTATGAATAAATATATGTGTAAAAAAAAATTATTAAAAAAAATTGAACCACTACACATTATAGTATAGGTAAAATATATAATAATAATAATAATAATAATAATAATAATTTATTAGTAACACAAAAAAAAATTATTAACAACACATAAAATTATAAAGTAATTTAATTAAATTATTTTTAATGAATGAAAATAAATATTAAAAAAATTAAATGAGTAGAAATGAATAAATATAATTGTTCTGTGTGGAAATTAATATTTATATTGAATATGAAGAAACGAAAATAAATAGCAAAAGAAATAGTCATTCCCTGTATATTTGGCTTTGACAAATTTTGAAGATAAGCCTTTTTATAAATTCCACATAAGTATTCATAAAAGTTATATATTGAAAATTTTATAAAATTAAATTTAAATTATTTTTTGAAGTAGTCATAACATATTTTTATAAATTTTTCAAATACTTTTATGAGTAATTATAGCATAAGATAATTTCAAATTAGTTATTAATTTCAATTTGTTTTAAACATGATTTAAGTATAAATTAAATGCAAAAAAAAATTGTAATTTCTATTCCCAAAAACAGTTGAAGTAAGACTACTCTTTCAACATTTTTTTCCTTTTTTTAATCGTATTGAGTTTGCGACAAATAATTGTGAGGCTTAAAAATATCAACATTGTTAGAATATTTAGTCTGTAATGATGTCTAATAACCATATTTTTTATTTAAAAAAAATTAATTAAAAAAATTACTCTATCAAATTTGAAATAATATTACTTGATTTAACCCTGAAAAAAAAAACAAATAGAGAGAAACACAAAGCACAAGAAAAGAAAAAAACAGGAAAACTGTCTAGTAAACAATCCCAACACCCCATACCCAAATCATATCTACAATCATTTAAACTAAGATATACATATCCAAATGCAAGGAGAAAATTAGCAAATTAATAACAGCTTAATTTAGTTCATTTTGTATATCATCGATGGTAGACTCATCACAGCTCTGAGTTCTTCTCCCTGATCTTTCTCTGTTACTAAGCATCCTATGAAATGATCCTATTCTCAAACCTGAACAACCCACTTTCTCCAATTCAATAACATCATCACCACCCTCAACCAGTGGTGCTGTGGGTTGGACTTGGTGCAATCTTGGTTCGACCACAGTGCGACAAATTGGGCATGTGGTGTTAGAGCTGAACCATTTATCAACACATTCAACATGAAAGATGTGCTTACAATTTGGTAACACCCTAGTAATTGCATCTTCCACAATGGTGCCTAAGCAAACGGAACACTCTACAAGTTCACCTTGCTTGAATTGGTCGGTTTGTTTATACAAGAGCTTAGGCAGAGAGACTATGATTGAAGCATCAAGGCCAGAGTTGCATGGCTCCACAGAACTCACATCAATTGGTGCTATTTGAGTGCTGATCTGATAAACGAGGTCGTTTTGGCGTCTCCTTTGTTGGCGTCTAATGAAATACTTTACACTAAAATGGAAGATGATGATTAATAAGATCATACCAAATAGAGAGAAGGCTGCTGCTAGCATCACCTTAAGGCCTATACCAAGTGGCCTCTCACCATGTTTGTCATCAGACCCCATGTTTGATTGATTTCAAGATGTGGAGATGGTTTTGTTTTGGTTAATTTACAAATATATTGCTAGGTTTGAAATAAAAATTAGTGGTTGGTTTGGTGGGTGGAATTGTGGAAACACGAAAATAGAACTATTTATCTTAATTATATCTCCATCAATATTATTGACTTTAGCGAACATGACAAATGATTTTCTTGGGTACGCGTACTTGCATAGTTATTGATCTATGGGGACAATTATAGACTTCTTACTACATACAATAGTCTTAATTGCAATGAAGAATTTTATTAACATTTTGACGTGTTGTACACTTCAATAAACTTTGCTATCGCATAGGACTACTTTTTTCTATGCATAATTGAGATATGGATAATAATTTATCAAATTGTATAAAATATTTATTATCTACCAAAAAATAGCATTTAAATTATTTTGGATTTAGATCCTTTAATGTAATATAATAATTATATACATGCATACATTTTATAACAAAATGCAAGTTATAATTGTGTTACTTTAGAATTTATAAACTTCATGCATTAAAATTTAAATAGAAAATTATATATATATATATATATATATGGTTCAAAATGGTCCGTGGCATAAAATCTGTATTAATCAGATGCCCATAAAACTTACATTTGACTTTGAGATTCAATATCAAGGCAGCATTAGTTTTATCGGCATCACCTTAGTTGTATTGGAGGGCATCATTATTTTTGCTTACTTAGAATCTTAGATAAAAAGAATATTTCTAATTAAATAGAATAAAAGAACTACCAAGTCCCAACCGAGGACAATTTCTGAAAAATCTATATTGGAAAGATTATTTATGCCTTAAATATTATTTTTATTTTTTTAACCAAAAGATGAGTTTTTTTTATTGTCTCGAATTATTAAATAATTTTTGGAAGAATCTAATAATTTACCAATAATAATATTCTTCTTTCCACTTTCAAGTTTCATAAGACACTATATATCCTGTTAATATGCATTTAAAGTTTTTTTGTACGTTTTAATGCTGCAAGATTTATCGTTATGTTTAAATATTTGAGATAATATTTTAAACAAAAAAGTTCGGGTTTAAATGTGGAAACTATTATTATTCAAATGATATTTTATTTATAAGGGAAAAAATGAACAGCGAAAAATTCTACAAATATCTTGTCAATGATGTAGGGTTATTAATAGTTTTCAAATAATCCAGTGATTCTTATTACCATGAGTCATCAAAGAATCACCTTGAATACTTTTAATAATTTTATGTTAAATTCTATCGATTCTTTTAATCGTGTAGCATTGATCTTAAAATAATCATCATCACTAGCGGAGCAATTTAATTATCAACTTATTATGTTGGAAAACACTACTAAAAAGGTAATTTCTTTAATATATAATACTAACAAAAACAATATATTCCCTTAAAAAATACTACTATCTAAAAATTAAATGTACCTTTTAAAAGAATAGCATCAACTCTAAGTTAGTAGTGCCAAAAGGAAAGTCAAGTTTGATGATTTGTGGAAATAATAGTGTATAAGTGTTAATTATTTTAATATTAGTTATTTTTATTATTGTTGATATTAAAAATATTTTTTTATTATTTTTCAATAAATTAATTTTCTTGATATTATATAAAGAGAGTGAGTCTTAAGAAATAGAGGATTATTCATCTTTTTTAATACTCTTTATCATTCTTTATCATTTTTTTTAATACTCTTTTTTAAAAAAAAATTCATACTCTTTATCATTCTGGATATTGTTTATGAAATTTTAACATGTTTGATCTCGAGTGCACCTTGAGGAGCAAGTTATTATTGTGTAAAATTTGAAGAATAAACTGATTATTAAGCTATACTAAAGATCCACCAAAAATTTACTTTTAGGATAGTAATTTTTATTGCGACACAATATTTTTTCATTCTTTTGTACTAGTATTTTCTAACATAATTGACTTAATTAAATATATATAAAACAAAAGTTGTGAGTTAATAAAATTTAGATTCAAAATTATTGTCTCAAATCCTATCCGAATATTTATTAGCTTGATACATATCTTTTTAATATATGATATTCAAAATCATAAATTATATTCTAAATATTTGTAAATATCTATTATCATGTAACATATTTAGAAGAGTTGAAGTTATTTAAAATTTGATATATAAATATGTATGATCATCGGATATAGCAATTGAATTAGTTAAATTTTCACTTTATAAAAAATTTATTGAGTATGTCATTTCATTAATATGATAATATAATGTCAATGGATCATATATATATATATATATATATATTTGAAATAAATAATTTTATTTATCATTTTTTCATTAATTTATTACTATATTTACTTATATAATATATAAGTAAAAATAAAAATGATAGAAAAAATAATTTTTTATATTTTATACAAATTTTTTTATCTAAAGATTTTATACATATTTTCGTTTGTCAGTTTATACAAATTTATGTAACCTTAACTATATTTCCATTATATTCCCGCTAGTTACTGGTCAAATTTGATTATTTTTATTGATAAATTATAGAAACAGCAAGAAAAAAAAGTATAAATTTTGGGTAGAAAATGAAAACTTCAATTTTTTAAAAAAGTTAAATTACTTAATTTAAAAATTAATAAAGAAACTTAAATAAATACATAAAATGAAAGACTAATATGGTATTTCAGAATAAAAGGAATAAAAATGAATTAAAGAAAATGTGTTATATTTAAAACTCAAGGTAAAACTTACCTACCTAGCTAGCTATGAAGCCTCATGAAGAAAAATAGTTTTTGAATAAAGGGTGTAGTGGAAGGGTCAAATGTCATGTCTGTTTCTAGGGCCACTTACCAAATATTGCACAAAGAAAATTCAAATTAAATGACAGGTATACAAGAGATAACCTTCTTAAGAAGCTAGTGCAGAAAGTATTATAAGTGGAAAAAGTGCAGGCAATTACTTACAATTATGTCATTACTTAGCGTTTGAAGGTGACTCCTCGTGGTCCAATCCAATTCCCAACCAGAACGGGAAGTAGGTACGAGCTTATTATGATTTATTTGTGAATCAGATTTCTGCTCAATGTCAAAGATTTTTTTAGAAACAATTCAAAGTTCTTGTTGCGGTACGATTAGGGAACCTAAATAGAGCTATTAGAAAATGACAACAAATTGATAAAATGAAAGTGAGTGAACCTGATTGCTACTATTTTTTTCTTCTCTATGCAAGTTCACCATGTAATTACTGAAGTTGGTTTGTACTTTGTAAAAGTCTATACTTGATCAAGTCGTCTATCAGAGAATATAGTTAATTTTGCCGGCCAAAAATCTATTTACTATAGTATAACGTTGTGCTTAATAAGGATTAAAAATAATAATTATGCTCAATCTACACTTTAATGTAATTTACATTAGCAATCACATAATAATATTTTATTTATTAAAATTAGAATCATATCATCACCATAATTTAAACTCAAAATATTATTCAAATTCTTACTATTAGACTGTCTAATAGTTAATAACCACAAAATAAATTTGGATCATCGTATAATTTGATTTTGTTGAACACCAGACACTTATTTGTATTAGTTTGTATACTTTAATTATTTATATTAATCCATATTTGATTTATAATCTTAAATTTTTATATCTAAAATTAATCTCAATATTAATTTACGGTAAAAGTAACAGAAAAGCTAGTTGGAAGCTAAAAAGACTACTTGATGACTATTAACTATTAATTTAATTTATTAAAGTACAAGTATTTGACAAGATTATTTGTTGAAATAGTTGATAAATGTAAAATGAGAAAAATAACATGTTCATATCATATTATTATAAAAAATTTAATTTAATTTTATTGATAAAATTATGTTTTGATATATTTAAATTGTAGTTTTTAATTAATTTTGAATTCTTATTTTTTATTTATAAATTAATTATTTCTGTAACAACCCAACAAATCTATACAATTACTTCAACTCAACAACTCGGTAGTGAAAAAACGTAAATATTAACTAACTTGAAATTATCATGCAAGCAATACATGGATATTCATCCAATAATATATATATATATATATATATATATGAATAGAAATAAACAACTAAACATATAAAGATCACTAAGTAGCATTACAACATAATCATCTATCTATCTATCTATCTATCTATCTATCTATATATATAGAGGAGAGTTCAAACGACACCGGTGTAACTTTTACTAAGTGTTACACCGCTCAATAACTTTATATTAAATGTGAATTTTAAAAATCCAACCGTTAGATTGAAAGTTCATATCTCTTAGATCATATATATCAAATTTTATATTAATCTAAGATAATTTGATACTTCATTCTCATAAAACAAAATTGACGTAATATATACATTTCAAAATATACTAAAATATGAACATTTTGATTACCTTCAAGTTGTTGTTAAATTTTAACAAAATTTGACATATTTGATCTAAGAGATATGAACTTTCAATCTAACGGTTGGATTTTCAAAATTCACATTTAATATAAAGTTATTAAGCGGTGTAACACTTAATAAAAATTACACCGGTGTCGTTTGAACCTTCCCCATATATATATATATATATATATATATAAGAAAAATGTAAAATAATGACTGAAATTAGCGATCAAAATTTACCAATTTCTATATTATAACTAATTTAGCGATCGATTATTAATACTCAATCAGGATTTATAAGCCATAAAATTCTAAGTCATCAGTCAAACAATAATTAGCTATATCATAATAGCCTACATCAAACTAGGGATGGGTAGATGGATTCAGGTTTGTAGACCAATCGGTTAAGCCCATGAATAATAAGCCCTATTTTTTCAAATCTATATAACTTTGTTTAATTTTTAAGTCTGGTCTATGAAGCTGCGAACTTTGCAGACTTTCGCAGACTAGCCTGCAAATTTCACTAATTAATTTTTTTAGTTATTAACACTTTAATATTTAGTTGTCCATTTAATCTTTTAAATCATTATGATATTAAAACTATGTTTAGTTGATATATATTTGTCATTAATTTGGATTATTTTTTAAGACATTTTAATGTTTTTATTATTGACAATTTGGTACTATTATATAAGTATT